ACATCTTGATTGTTTAAAGCTGGGCCGTTTGCTAGCTCTTGGAATTCTTCAAATAATCCAGTCCAAGCTTGGGCTTTATGCGGATCCACTTCTTGGTCTTCTTGCGGCTTTACTTGATCCACTTGTGACATTGCTTGCATCATGCTCTGGTTATACTTGTGTTGGAGAATCTTAGCTCTTTGTCTTGTTATAGGGCCTTCATGAACAATTGGTACTTCCACATCTTGTAGTTATGGCTCGGTTAAGTCTGGTTCAGCTTAAATGGCCTCATCAGATATGCATGGAACTAGAATAGACATGTGTATAATTAACCAACTCTCGCCATCTTAATCAACTAATCACTCAGATCTGGCAATTAACTCTCGCTCTCATGTCAGAAATAAGATCATGCATTAAATATCGAATTTGTCTGCTCAGATCTTCTCAACAGGTAGCTCTCGACTCCTATAGTGATTATGTTCTTCTAAAGCTAGGTATGGATGATCTGATACAGCACTCTCGTGGCTCTGATCGATCTTAGGCTCAGAGAATAGGTCATGAATCTACTCTCATACAATATGAACAACTTAGAAGAGATGAGATCCTAAATATGGTTTAGAAAATTTGAAATCCTAATCGATATGTATGCCTATCGAAAACTCCTTCAAACAACTTGACCCTCTGGGACAAATCTATATGATACAAGGAATGATAAAAGACATGAAAAAATAAAAAAGATGAAACATAAAAGTTAATTAGATAGAAAGGAGAAAGAACAATGGATCAGAGGAAAAATCTCCATCTCCATCGCCTAACCCTAGAAAAACAAAGTTTGGTGGCTCAAAATCTCATTACAGGAGCACACACCCGTTTAGGGCTGCTAAGAAATGTATTTATAGGTCCTAAGGTATTTCAGGTCTCATTTAGGGCTTCTCTGAAGAGGAATGGCAAAGTGGGATTTGATGTTGGACCTTGTGGCTCGTCATTAGGTCCACCGGGGGGTGAAAGTCTTCCAATGCAGGTAAAATGCCACTTTCCCGCAGGGAAGAGCCTTCTGGGGCCGGTGAATTTGGTCAACTTGTTCTCCATGTATCTTTTGTTTGCACCGTTAGATCTTCGTAATGTAAAGTGCTACGGAAAGCTGATTGTCTCCTCTTGATTGTCTCCAAATTTGAGCTGGATCAGACGGTGATAAATTCTTCATTTGAGGTTGAACTTCTGACGGTTTGACTCTGAGCTGCAAAAGTTGATTTTTTCCATTTTGCCATCATTTTCTCTAAGTTTCCTGAAAATAGCCTTGAAACTACAAATACATAGAAATCATAATAAAAGTTCTTAAAACTGATTAAAACCTATGAAAAAGCATTTGAAATTAATGATGGAAATGGGTACAGTTACGGTGTTATTAGGTACCCCGTTAATTGCCAGCAAAAAGCCTTCTCATGCCCTGATTTTCCACAATGAGTACAGAGAAGAGAACTTCGGTCTCTGCACCTACTATTTCCAGTCGAAGATGATGATTCAACACGAGAGTTAGATGGTACGATCTCCGCAACAGCATTTCGATGAGTAATAAACCCAACAACATCATCTTGGTCTTTATGCGTCTTGGGTTTGAGAAGTCTCTGCTCTTCCCGAACAACACGAGCATATGCTTGAGCCAAATTTGGCCCTGGATCTGCATCAGAGATTCTGCAATAACATTGCCAAATCGAGACTCATCAAGCCCCATCACAAACTGATAAACTTTTTCTTCCTCCCTCTCCTTCGCATAATCAGTGCCTATTGAACATGTTCACTTAGGAAGAGATTAGTAAATAGCTAATTAATGCCACATAGCTTGAAGTCGACTGTAATAATCAATCACAGGTTGGACGTTTTGACAACAAGTCGCGAGTTGTGTGTAAAGGTAGTTAACACGAACTTTGTTGTCCACACAAAAACTTTTCTTCAAGGTGTTCCAAAAATTTTTAGCACTGGAGATAAAAGACACAGAAGATCAAACACAAGGTGCGAGAGAAGCACGCAAGCATCCAATAACCATGGATTTAACAGAGACCCATGATTTCAGCTCCGTTCCAGCCATTGTGGGTTTGGTAATCGAGTCATAAATAAACCCAACTTTCTTCTTGTTGCGAAGTGCATTCATCATCTCCTCCGCCTATTCATTAAAACTTTTTCCAGTCATAACCACTGGTATAATTAAAGCACCTGGATTATTGGAGAAATACAAGGTGTAAGGTGTGCTAGCTGTGGAATCACCAGTCGCTGCAACAACAGTACCATCAGTAGCCATCTTTAATCGAAAAAATAAGTTTGTAGATGCCGAACAAAAAAAGAAAAACTAAGGGTGAGCAGAGAAAAACTTGAGCCCAAACTGAAGAAAGCAAAGAGTTAGGGTTCAGGATTTTAGCTCTGATACCATGTAAAAAAACTGAATATACTTTCATATTCGATGATCAACTCATACATAGAATATATATACATCACATATTATCACGAGATATTTCTTAAATGTAATACATATATAAGCCTAATACAAATAAAATATGGCCCAATATGCACCAAATTTGGTGTAATACTAATCAGTATATCAAACATTAAAATATAATTTTTTCATTTATTAATATAATTAAATTATTTTTTATTAGTTAACTAAATTTTGTAGGTAATGTTTATAATTATTTTCTCCTGACTGTTGTTATCCATTTAATTTGTTTATGTCAGAACCGAGACTGAAGTTGTGTACTCAGACTTAGATAAGAAGAAGTTGGTTTTCTTTTTAAATTTATGGTTTTATTTCAAATTTGTGAACATGAATGAAGTTGTGAGCATGAATAAAACATCAACTTGTTTGATTTTTGGGGTTTTCTAATTTTATTTAAATGAAGTTTAACTTTTATTTAGACTAGGTGAATACTTGCACGTAACGTGCAGATTTTTTCCTTGAACTATTTAAAATTTATATATTTTGTATTTTCTTAAAAAATATAATCATCATTTGTTATGTGTTAGTTTATTATTATAAATCAATCAATTTGAAATATAATATCATTAAAAATTAAGAGTTTATACCCAAAAAAGAATATCCATCAATATTTTTAATTAATTATAACATAAATTCTTGTTTATCATTTACATAAAGATTCTTTAAGAATCAATTAATAAATCTATTTTTTTTTTAGTGGTTTAAAATTTAGTATTAGAATTTATTAACTAATTTTTTAAAAAACTGTAATTTTAAATGGGTTTTTTCTTCAACTATTTCGAATTTATATATTTTATATTTTTTTTTTAAAAAGTATGATCATCATTCGTTATGTGTTAGTATATTATTATAAATCAATTAATTTGAAATATAATATCATTAAAAATCAAGAATTTATTAAAAAACATCAAAATTTAACTTATAACATAAATCTTGTTTAATTTTACCTAAATATTATTTAAGAATCAATTAATAAAAAAAAATAGATTTTCTTTGAGTAGTTTAACATTTAATATTAAAATTTATTAATTAATTTTCTTTAAAATTATAATTTAAATTAAAAAATATGACACATGCCATTCTTATATTAATTCTTAAATGCTGATGTGTCATTCATATGGAGAGAGTTCAGCCTCTTTTATTTATAAGATTAATGTTTTAGTTAATTGGTAGTTAATCTATTTTATGAATAATTAGTATTTATCTAAACTATTTAAAAATAAAGAGATTTTTAAATTTAATAAATAATAATAAACAATTTTTTTTTGTGAGATTTGGTGTTGTGGTTGGAGATAAAAAAAATATTATTTACCAAAACACCAAAATTTACATATTCATAACACTATATTTGGTACTATAGTTGGAGATAGCCTAAGACACAAAGAAAGTATAATGAATGTGGTGTATAAAGAGGTTTTTCAAAAAAACTATCGTTAGTTTTTTTTTGTAGTTTGCCATTTTGAAGTGTTGTTTTTTATTTTTATTTTTTGGAAGTAAACTATTTACTTTCAAATATCGGTTTTTTATTTTCAGATTTTTTTTTGTGATTTTTTTATCATTGGTGGAAAACTATTTTGCTCTCGACAATGGCAATTTATTCTCTTTATATTATTTTAATCAATTCATTACTTAACTTGTTGATGCCCGCCGATCACCTAGTTCTAGGTAAATCGATGATCCAATGCTACTTTAGTCATTTCTCAATCATCTAGCATTTTTCAAACTTTTTTTTTATGAATTTTATCATCGTATAATTTGTGATATTATAAATACATGGACGACTAGCACTCGAACAGAGTGGATATTTGGGTAACTTTGAGATATCAGAATTCCTATCCAGATTAGCCGGATTCAGAGTTTTAGTTATCCGATTCATAACCGGGATATTTATATATCCAGACTTCGGATATTCGTTTAAATGTTAAGATATCCGTCTGTATAAAAAAATATTAAAAAACTAATATGAATAACAATAAAAAAATTATATTTTGTAATAAACTTTTATCAAGAAAAATATTTAATTTAAATTTAATTACTTATATATAAATAAATCTAATATCTTATAAAATTATCAAACAAATATAATTTTTTAATATATTTAGAGGTTAGAGATTCAGATATGGATATCTGAACTTATAATTTAACTATCCGATCTGGATTCGCTTTTAATGGATATGAGATTTTACTATTCAGATCTGGATTCAACCCTTTCGGATATTCAAATTTTTTCAAGCGAATCGGAACAGATCCCGGATCTGATCTTGGATAATAATTTCAGTCTTATAGATGACAATAGATATATGTTATAGTTATCTAGACATGCACCTAACTAATTTAATAGATATATGTTATAGTTATCTAGACATGCACCTAACTAATTTGTTCAGTTAATAAAGCAACAATAATAGTTTGAACAAAAATAATAATAAAGCAACAATAATAATGTAATTCATAAAGTTAAATTTGGTATGCAAAAGAAATGCTTTTAATTTTCTAAAAAAGTGTGACATAACCAAAGTAGAAGAATGCCTCAGTGGTGCGGCCTGTTTCATCATCCCTCCATTGCCGCGACGACAAACTTTTATTTCTTCTCACCGGGAAAATATTCCGATCTCACTCTTACGGAATATTCCCTTTCTCCTTCTGCTTCTCCTTCTGCTTCTCCTTCCTCAAAGTAGATTATGGAAAATGACGTCAAGGTCGACGAGAAACTGGAGGAAGCAGACCGCCTTCTTCCTCATCCTCAATCTCTTCCCTCAAATTCCGACGACGAAGAATCCGAATCCGAAGCCGCCTTCGAATCGAGAGATAAGATCGTAATCGTCGATTTCGAATCATCCGGCGATGCCGACGCCGCCACAGCGCCTCCTTTCTCGTGGAGGAAATTGTGGCTGTTCACAGGTCCAGGTTTCCTGATGAGCATAGCGTTTTTGGATCCGGGGAATCTAGAAGGAGATCTACAAGCAGGAGCGATCGCTGGATATTCTCTACTATGGCTCTTAATGTGGGCCACCGCCATGGGATTACTGATACAGATGCTCTCCGCTAGAGTCGGTGTCGCCACCGGTCGTCATCTGGCGGAGCTCTGCCGTGACGAGTATCCGACTTGGGCTAGGTATGTGCTTTGGTCTATGGCGGAGATTGCTCTGATCGGAGCTGATATTCAAGAGGTTATCGGGAGTGCAATCGCGATTCAGATTCTTAGCCGTGGCGTTTTGCCGCTCTGGGCCGGTGTTGTCATTACGGCGTCGGATTGGTGAGTCTTCTTCTTCTTCTTCCTTTTGAATCTGTAGCTATTTTGGATCAATTGAGTTTCAAAACTCACAAATCAGAACAAAACTTGGTTTGGAGATGTATGATTCACTCGGAAATTTGCTTTCCCTTTGGCACAAATCTGTAGCTATTTGGAATCTTAGATCATCTTAGAGGTTATTAAATTTGAAACTAAGAAATCAGTACAAAACTTAGTTTAGAGATCTATGGTTCAGTGTTATCATCGTATCTTGGTGTGTCTTCTTCTTCTTCCTTTGAATTTGTAGCTATTTTGGATCAGAAGAAACTTGTTTTAAAGATGTATGATTCAGTCAGAAATTTGCTTTTCCTTTAGGCTCAAAAATGTAGCTATTTGGATCATCTTAGAGGTAATTGAGTTTGAAACTCAAACTTTGTTTAGAGATCTATGATTCAATCTGAAAATTAAGAACATTTGTTTTGTTCCTTAGGCTTCTTTTTGTTGAGAATCTGGCTAATGAATTGTTTGCAAACAGTTTTTTATTTTTGTTTCTAGAGAATTATGGTGTGAGGAAGTTAGAAGCAGTTTTTGCAGTTTTGATTGCAACTATGGGTTTGTCTTTTGCTTGGATGTTTGGTGAAACCAAGCCAAGTGGAAAAGAACTTATGATAGGTAAAAAAGACCATCCACTTCTTTTCTTCCACTCTCTCCAATTTTTGACTCTCTTTGCTAAAAAAAATAAAGTCGTTGTTGCTCATGATAGGTATATTACTCCCAAGACTTAGCTCGAAGACAATTAGACAAGCTGTAGGTGTTGTCGGCTGTGTCATAATGCCTCACAACGTGTTTTTGCATTCGGCTCTTGTACAATCGAGGAAAATCGACCCGAAGAAGAAATCTCGTGTTCAAGAGGCGCTTAACTACTATCTGATCGAGTCATCGGTCGCCCTTTTCATCTCTTTCATGATTAACCTCTTTGTGACTACCGTCTTTGCAAAAGGGTTTTACGGAACCGAGAAAGCTAATAACATCGGACTAGTTAACGCCGGTCAGTATCTTCAGGAGAAGTTTGGAGGTGGGCTTCTCCCGATTCTCTATATATGGGGAATCGGTTTGTTAGCAGCCGGACAAAGCAGTACAATCACCGGTACTTACGCTGGTCAGTTTATAATGGGCGGGTTTTTGAACCTCCGGCTTAAGAAATGGATGAGAGCAGTTATTACAAGAAGCTGTGCTATCGTCCCGACCATGATCGTCGCGATCGTGTTCAACACTTCTGAAGCTTCCTTGGATGTTTTGAATGAATGGCTTAATGTTCTTCAGTCTGTACAGATTCCTTTCGCTCTTCTCCCTCTTCTAACTTTGGTATCTAAAGAAGAAGTTATGGGAGACTTCAAGATTGGTCCTATTCTCCAGGTTATTTTCAGACTTTTTTTTACTATAAGCTCTGAGTAAACCAATAAGAATTGAAACTCCTTACAAGTGTTTATCTTGCAGAGAATAGCATGGACTGTGGCTGCACTTGTGATGATCATCAATGGGTATCTTCTGTTGGATTTCTTTGTATCGGAAGTTGATGGGTTTATGTTTGGAGTCACGGTCTGCGTATGGACGACTGCTTATGTTGCCTTTATAGTCTACCTCATTTCACACAGCAACTTTGTTTCGTCTCCTTGGTCTTCTTCTTCTTCCATAGAACTTCCCAAAAGAGTTACCATCTCTGATAGCTAGCTGCACAAAAATAACAGTTGAAGATACGGTAAACAAACTTCAATCCTCTATACATACACCAAAATGGTGATAAGAGTTAGCTTTTGCCAATGTGACATCACAACTCTTTGTTGTACCTTTTTGTCTGTGCGAGTAAAGTGATATTCCAAAATGATCAATGAAGAATAAGGGTTGAGTAGCTACAGCAAAATATATTACCAAAGCTCAGCTTGAGGCATCGATTAATTCTCTAGTTGCTTATAATGTATCAAGGCATGGATTCTGTTTTTAAATATTACTATAAATCCAAACTTTAGTAAAGGGAAAATTAGTTCATGTTTTTCAAATGCTATAAGGTAAGATTTTGCTTTAATTAAATATTAACCAAAATGTATTCACAATTTGCTTCTTCTTTTTTTTTTCTTTTGCTTCTTTCCATTAAGAGTCTAAGAGACGGATGTTGGAAGTTCCAAAAATGGAGACGAAGAAAGGGGAAGGAAAACATACAGAAACTACATAATATTTTCATTTAAATCCGTATTACGCATTCAAATTGATTTTAGAACCCAAATATTATTTATTGTCTGAAAAGAAGTGTTGGAATCAGCACCAGAGCTGAATCCACGAAATAATGGTTTCCCTCGCTTTGAAGAGAGATTGGATAGGTCTAGACATTTTGGGAATTAGGATGGAAAAATACAGATAAGGGGATGTATATGGTCGGGACAGGAAACCTTTCTCAAAATGCCCAAACCTAAGAATGGAAGTCGATCCAGGAGCAAGTTTAACGTGCATATACTTGAATTTACTTTGGATCATCAAAGTTGGATCATATGTGGGAGAGGAAACTCATTTTGGTACAGAGAGATAGTGCCGGTCTAACATATTTGAATATCATTTGCAAACCTAATATTTTTTTGTTAAAGACATTACATAAACATATCTTGGTAAAACGATGACAAATGAAAATAAAGATAAGATAAAGCAACAACTCGACCGGTTTAACTAATTGGGATAACCAACACTAGCTAGGAGATATAAGGTTTAACATAGCGCGATAAAGAAAAAATGATACAAGGTGTGAAATCTTGTAACAATAATCCCCTTCTACGCAAATTTAATATGCTATTTTTATATATTTATCTACAATCATTAATATAGTAAAAAAACAACTTAAAACTTCACAAAACAATTCAATCTCATAAACATTTTGTAAAAAAGAAAAAAAAACAAAAAAAAAATAAATTAAACTCCTAAAAAATAGCATGTAGTCGAGTTTTCCAATCATATACTATGTCTTAATGATAAAAACAAACTCACGATTAAAAAAGTTTTGGCGCTATGTTTCAAAAGTCATCTTACCAGATATCAAATTTATTAGGTGAAGACTAGGAGAATCTAGGAATTTATGTGGGTTTTTATTTGAAAAACGGACTGATGGGATATCAATCCAAATTTTAATAGAAGTTTATATAAAAATGGTTTAATATATAAATCCAACTTCAACTATAAAACCTTCTAAAAAAGAAGTCCAAAAACAAATCTGTGTGACTTTTTAGTCTTTGATATAAACAAATAATGTCATATTAATAGAGATAGATATAGGTTGGAAAAACTCACACGGATTTGGAGAATCCAATATATTAATTGCGATTTTCTATTAATTTGTGATGAGTGCTCGCTGAATCCAATACCACCACCAGTATTCATCAGTTAAATACTTTAGTGGCCGCATAAAGATGAGCCTTTAAACTCGGATGTTTAGTTGAATTTTATCAATTTCTAAACCAACAAAAATTGCGTCATATGTAAGCTGTGATATTATGCTCGCTATTAGAGATGCATAAATTTAAAGATTTTGTATGTCGTATTGTGCACAAGTTATACTAACTTTTGACGACGAAGCAGCCATAAGAATTTGCCTTCTACAGTGTAATTTGACACTCACACACAATGCTCATTTGTTTTTACATTAGAGTTTGTTGTCTTAAATCTTGTTTGACATTAAAAAAGAGGCACACCCAAATCTCCATATGGACGACTGCTTATGTTGCCTTTATAGTCTACCTTATTTCACACAGCAACTTTCTTTCTTCTCCTTGATCTTCTTCTTCGATAGAACTTCCCAAAAGAGTGACTGTCTCTGATAGCTGATAGACCCCTAAGAGCTTATACATTGAGGAGAAAGAAGACAGAGGAGAAGAAAAGGGATCAGCTGAGTCAAGATTCAAGTGAAGAGGATCAAATGAGCTGACGTGGACAACGGGTCAACGGTTTACAGTCAACAGAATAGTAAACGTTTAGTATAAAGTTTTGTTTGTTATTTCTGTTTTAGAGATCGAATTTGTGTTCGTTCTTTTGAGGAATCACAGAGAGCTTGTTCTCGGTGATTGTGGCAGATTTCGAGAGCTTGTTCTCGTCAACCGGAATCGACATCGAAGAGTCTTCGTCTCGATCAATCTTGTACATCTTTGATAAGTGAAATAAAACGGATCGTTTCTCTTATCAATTGGTGCGGTGAGTACCGATCTTCGCGAAATGGTGGAAGTTGATGCGACTACGGCGGAGCTCCAAGGATCGGTGGCGGAGCTAAATCAAGCAGTCGAAGTTATAAACGGTGGATGGAAACAATTTACAACGGCGAACACGGATCTAATAAACCGAGTTTCGACGATCGAGAAGCGAATCGACTCAGTAGACAAAAAAGCTTGAGCTCGATTTCGAATATCCTGGCTCGAATGGAGGCAAATCAGTTCGGCGACCGCAATCCAGGTAAATCACAAGCTACATCTTCGGGAACTCAAAATCAGGTACCTCCGATGATGAAATAGAAATCCTGGAATCTCAGCAACTAGGTTATCGGGGAATTCATAACATGCTTGAAAATCGGAATGGTATGTTGAAGAAGATAGAATTGCCTGTGTTTGATGGATCACGACCGTATGGTTGGTTGGTTCAAGCCGAGAGATTCTTTCGGTTGGGTAAATATAATGATGCAGATAAACTAGATCTGATGTCAATCAGTCTCCAAGGTCCCGTGTTGAACTGGTACAATCGGGAAATCGAGATCCAAGAGTTTCAGAGCTGGAATCAGTTTAAAGAAAGAGTTATAGCAAGATTCAGTTTGAAATTGGAAGAAAATCCGGCTAAACGATTATTAAGCATGAAGAAAACCGGATCGATCATAGATTACGTCAATGAGTTTGAGGAGTTGTCAACCATTGTGAAGGGCGTCGATGAAGCCAACAAAACACATGTCTTCTACTTGGGACTAAGACCGGAATTTCAGGAAGTGATCAAGCTCAAGGAACCGAAAACGCTGACTGAGTTTTTCCATGCCGTAATAAGAATGGAAGATAGCGTGTTTTGCTCAGTAATTGCTAATGCTGCAAATCAGAATCAGCAACGCTGCACAAACTACATTCCTCTCAGATCATCGTCAATGTTTAACAGCCAGAGAAATAGTTTTCCAACTAGTCGGAATGAAGGAAATAAAGAGGGTCAGAAAGGGAATCCATTACAGGAAGATAGAGGAAAAATTCAGAGGATGAACAACAATGAAAAACAATCATGGAAGAATCAGGCAAATGCTGCAGGCATTCAACGATTAAGTCAGAGTGAATATAAGGAATTAAAGAGACTGGGCCTCTGTTACAAGTGTAAGGAGAGATGGTCAAGGAAACATCAATGCAAGAACATAGAACTCAAAGTGCTGACTGTGATTGATGGTACAGAAGTGGAACTGATAGACGAAGAATGGACTTATACATTTGAGGACGAAGAAGGAAGAGTCACAGAACTGATGGAGTTGTCTCTTTTCTCTTTTTTGGGAATGGACTCGCCAACAACTACGAAGTTGTGGGGAACGATCTGTAAACTGAAAATTGTGGTGATGCTCAATAGCGGTGCAACCCATAATTTTATTGATCCTTCAGTGGTAACAAAGGCAAAGATAATTCCTATCAGACTAAGAGACCGTGAGATACTGTTGGGAACGGGTATAACAGCTAAGAGCTCAAGCGTTTGTAGAAACATACCCTTTAACTTGCAGACACATGATTTTGAAGCGGATTTCATGGTATTGGAACTGGGGAACAATGACATAATACTAGGCGTGCAATGGCTAAGAACTCTGGGGAAGTGTACAACGGACTGGGAAAACCATGAGTTTCAATTCTATCATAGAGGAGCGATGGTGACACTCAAAGGGGACCCTTCACTCCATTGTTATAAACCTTCCATGAAGAGTATTAATCAGTCAATTGGTTTCGACATAGAACTGTTCCAAACAGAACAACATAAGGTTCAACAAGACATACCAGAGCCAATTGAACACTTATTGGAAGGCTATTTGAAAGTTTTTGCAGAGCCGACCCAGCTCCCACCCTTACGAGGCCACGAACATGCTATCAACTTGGTAGCAGGAGCTGGTCCAATAAGTGTGAGACCCTACAGATATCCACACGCCTACAAAGAAGAGATGGAAAAGCTGGTCCAAAAAATGCTTAAAGACGGGATCATTCGACCATCACGAAGTCCATACTCAAGTCCTGTACTTCTCGTCAAAAAGAAGGATGCATCGTGGAGGTTTTGCATCGACTATAGAGCCCTAAATAAGATAACAATCCCAGACAAGTTCCCAATCCCAATGATTGACCAGTTATTGGATGAGTTGTACGGAGCTAAGATTTTTTCTAAGCTGGACTTGAGAACCGGATACCACCAAATACGCATGGAAGAAAAAGACATTGAGAAAACGGCATTCAGGTCATCAAATGGACATTACGAATTTTTAGTAATGCCATTTGGTCTCAGTAACGCTCCTGCAACGTTCTAAGCCCTCATGAATGACATGTTTCGACCATTCTTAGGCCAATTCGTTTTGGTGTTCTTCGACGATATTCTGATATTCAGTCCGAGTTTGGAGGAACACCTGAAACATTTAACAATAGTGCTGGACATCTTTGTCAAACAACAGTTATTGGCGAACAAAAAGAAATGTCTATTTGGCCAGGACAAAGTTGAATACTTAGGACATGTGATATCTGAAAAAGAAGTTGCAACAGACCCGGAAAAGACAATAGCAATGAAGAACTGGCCTGTGCCAAAGACAGTTAAAGAACTCAGAGGATATTTGGGGTTAACAGGATACTACAGAAGATTTGTGAAAGGATATGGGGTTATAGCTCGTCCATTAACTGAGTTGCTTAAGAAATATTGTTTTGAATGGAGTCCTAAAGCTCAGGCAGCCTTTGATCATCTCAAAGAAGCAATGACAACAGCACCAGTCCTTGCATTACCAAATTTTAAAGAAATTTTTATCGTCGAATCGGATGCATCAGGATATGGTGTTGGGGCAGTGTTGACTCAGGCAAAGAAACCGATAGCTTACTTTAGCTATGGTCTTTCAGAAAGGGAGCAAATCAAACCGATATATGAGAGGGAACTGATGGCAATAGTACTAGCAATTCAGAAGTGGAGACATTACATGATTGGCAGAAATTTTTTGGTTCAAACGGATCAGAAAAGCTTAAAGTTCTTATTGGATCAACGAGATGTCTCAATGGATTATCAACGTTGGCTGTCGAAGTTACTCGGATACGATTTTGAAATCATCTACAAACCAGGAATAGAAAACAAAGTAACGGATGGATTGTCAAGAATTGTTCAGGATACATCATTAACCACACACTCTCAGTTGTTAGCTCTGACGGTTTCATCGTGCATTCAGATGCAGGACTTGATGAAAGAAGCTGACAATGACCCTGAGATACAGGAACTTAAAACAAAGGTGGTGAATTCACTAGAAAAGTTCACAGATTATGTAGTGATTGAGGGAAAATTGCTGTATAAGGGTCGTCTAATGATACCTCGAAAATCCAGTTTCATTCCACTGATTTTACAAGCCTGTCACAATGAAATTATTGGAGGTCACTCTGGAGTATTGAAAACAACTCGGAGAATTCAACAGATTTTTTACTGGAAAAAGATGACAGTTGATATTCAGCGATATGTTGCGGAGTGTGGAGTTTGCCAGAAGCACAAATATTCAATGCTTTCACCAGCTGGCCTCCTGCAACCTCTTCCCATTCCGAAATCTATTTGGGAAGACATCTCATTAGATTTCATCGAAGGACTTCCATTATCTCAGAACATGAATGTCATTATGGTAGTGGTTGACAGGCTGAGTAAATTTGGTCATTTCATTGGCCTCAAACACCCATTCTCTGCTAAAGACGTGGCTCTAAAGTTCATCAAAGAAATCGTCCGTCTTCATGGGTTTCCTGCAACCATTGTTTCGGATCGCGACAAAATCTTCTTAAGCTCCTTCTGGAAAGAACTCTTCAAGCAAGCGAACACTCAACTGAAGTTCAGTACAGCATATCACCCACAAACAGACGGACAAACTGAAGTGTTAAACCGCTGTTTGGATACTTTTCTACGCTGCTTTGCATCATCACATCCAAAGTCATGGGCTTCGTATTTACACTGAGCTGAACTGTGGCATAATACAAATCACCATACGGCGTTAGGCACGACACCTTTTCAGATCGTATATGGCAGAGCACCTCCTTCATTGCTGAAATTTGAACATGGTTCAACCGCTAACTTTGAACTACAACGCTTGCTCCAAGAAAGAGATTCTATGCTTAACCAGATTAAGATTCATTTGGAAATGGCTCAGGCAAGAATGAATAATAATGCGGACAAAAAGAGGAGAGAACTGGAGTTTAACGTGGGTGATCGAGTCTTTTTGAAGTTACGACCGTACAGACAACAGACTGTCTCTCGCCGTGTTTGCCAGAAGCTGGTGGCACGATACTACGACCCGTTCGAAGTAGTGGCTCGTGTGGGAGCTGTTGCGTACCGTTTAAAACTTCCTGAAGGCTCTAAAATCCATGATGTTTTTCATGTCTCGCAACTTAAACCAGTTTTGGGTAAAGATTATGTGGTTACACAGCTGCCTGAAACATTATCGATTAATGATGAGGTGGTAGTCGAACCAGAATCTATATTGGACATTCGTTATGACGCCACTGGTCATATGGAAGCATTGATTACTTGGACTGGTTTACCGTCTCACGAGACGTCTTGGGAAAAGGCTAAGGATCTGATTCACCAATTCCCACACTTGACGCTTGAGGACAAGCTTCGTCTTAGCGAGGTGGGTATTGATAGACCCCTAAGAGCTTATACATTGAGGAGAAAGAAGACAGAGGAGAAGAAAAGGGATCAGCTGAGTCAAGATTCAAGTGAAGAGGATCAAGCGAGCTGACGTGGATAACGGGTCAACGGTTTACAGTCAACAGAATAATAAACGTTTAGTATAAAGCTTTGTTTGTTATTTCTGTTTTAGAGATCGAATTTGTGTTCGTTCTTTTGAGGAATCACAAAGAGCTTGTTCTCGGTGATTGTGGCAGATTTCGTGAGCTTGTTCTCGTCATCTGAATTCCGGTTGATCGACATCGAAGAATCTTCGTCTCCATCAATCTTGTACATCTTTTGATAAGTGAAATAAAACGGATTGTTTCTCTTATCAATAGCTAGCAACAAAAATAACATTTGAAGATACGGTAAACAACTTCAATCCTCTATACATACACCAAAGTGGTGATAAGAGTTAATTAGCATAGCTTTTGCCAATGTGACATCACATCTCTTTGTTGTACCTTTTTTTCTTTGTGCGAGTAAAAGTGATAATCTAATATGATCTAAAGAGGCTTTTAACATGATTACATCACAAAAAAAGCAGAAAACAAATAAATCAAAAGCTTATCACAATTGGAAAAAATGGCATCTTAACTAATGTTAGCAAAATCTTTGAATTACAAGGAAAATTTTCAATACTAAACTGCCATTCTAATAGCAGTTATATATATACAACCCAAATTCAGGCACTAACATTTCCACCACCATATGCTTCTTTACGCCTTTTCTCTAATGGTAACATCCTCGAAGAAAGCAAGAGGTAGCTCAGGTGAAACAGGCATGGTCGCAACGCACTTGAACTGTAAACCAAGAGAATCATAAATATATTAACCATCTCGAAATGTTGTTGTAACATAATGACTAAGTTAATGTGATACATAAATCATTGTAGTGTTAATTTTACCTTATGGTGCTTGTATTTATTTCTCACAGCTTCTAGACCGTTTCCTCTTCTGCTTAGATACAAGTCATGTATAATTCCCACACATTGTTGCAGATCAGACGCTTTATACTTTGTGTATTCTTCCAACATTTGATTCTGTTTACATCACCAAGAGAGATTTAGATTTAGGATAAAACAAGTTTATGTAAAAGAACAACTCATGGCTCTAAATGCGTACCCAAGGATGTTGTTTTGGACGGATGATGAATCGAGCAAGAAAAACAGCGGAAGCAGCCAAAAGAGATGGCAAAAACTTCACACAGCTATAATCTAACAGACTCAGTTCTGAGAGATAACAACAGAGGAACTCTATCTGCAAAAGTGACTCCTGCAAAGACAGCATAGAAAAAAGAATAAAAAAAGAAGATTTAACAACTGACACTTCATAAGATGCAAATGCCACAGTTCAAAATCTATATAAAAAAAATTGTTCAGTTTCAGCTTACATTGAAATCTTCTTGTGCAACCCTTGTGAACCGTCTGCACAAAACCCAACATTCAAAAGTGCAAAACAATCAAAATGAGGACATGTAAGACAATACAATCATAGGCAAAAACCATACAATCAAAAGTAAGTACAAAAATGAGATTTTTTCAACGCAAATCGAACCTTAGGAATGTTTTGATGGTTGGACTTCCTAATTCGAACTGCAGGGCAAGAAGTATATCTGCCTCCATGGTCACAACATCTTGTTTCGTAAACGTATTATCCGTGATGTAAACAAAATCTTCCACTTTAGGAGGACTTATCTCTTCGTATTTCCTACTTTTTTTCAAAGCAAAATAAAAATTCCATAAGCCAACCCGTGTAAAGAAGCTTCATAAATACACCGATTAGCAAAACAAAAAAAAATAAATAAATAAATAAATAAGAGGATTAAGATGCTTACGACGCAATAAGCATTGCAGAAACTCCCACAAGCTGAAGCCTCTGCCTGTTAATAGGCTTCATGGACAAGAATCTATCAACATAGGAGACAGTGAGATAGAGTGTGTCAGAGACGAGTTTGTATTCCTCAGCAACCTCCACTAACCAGTCCACTAAAACCCCTCTCATGTTTGGCGTTAAATCATTCTGCAACTTTTCGATATAATCATGTAGAGGTCTTTGTTTTGGCTTCGCCTAAATTTCATCAACCAAAAAAAAAAAAAAAAAAGACAAAACCTAATCATTAGTCCCTAAGTTGTCTAAAGCATATCAAATTATCATAAGAGCAAACAATCTCAGAAACTTCAAGATCAAATCTACATTCCAGCACACAGTGCCAATTTACAAACTGAATCCACACACTTTTGCAGTGCCAATTTAAGTCCAAAAACAGTGCCAATTAACAAACTGAATCTTCAATAAACTTCAAGATCAAATCTACATTCCAACACACAGTGCCAATTAACAAACTGAATCCACACACTTTTGCAGTGGCAATTTACAAACTGAATCTTCAAGAAACTTCAAGATCAAATCTACATTCCAACACACAGTGCCAATTCACAAACTAAATCCAAACACTTTTGCAGACTTTCATAGCAAATCGATAGTAAGCAATCATTTTGCAAACCATAAGATCAAAATTAACTGAAAGAAATGGGGGCAATGCTGAATCAATCTATATTTCAGAATTGGGAGATCGAGAATCTACAGATGTGTTTTTACCTCCATTTCACGGAGATACGCAGAGATGTCGCTCACATAAGGCCCACACATCTGAGGATCAACAGATCCCGATTCAAAATCTACGCTCGGTGCAGGAACCGCCACAGTAGGCGTCATCGGAGCCGCCGCCTTCTTCGTCTGCTTCTTCGCGGCGTTGTTAACAGTTGGTTTACTAGGCTTCACGGTGGTCTCTCTCAATTGAACAGCGACATTGGAGATGTTAGGAAGCTCTCCGAGAACAACTCTCTTCTTGCTAGCTGTTGGGTCTTCATCCATGGCCATGGACGAGGCCTTTCGTTTCGCCGCCGCCCTTGTCATCCTCGCGCAGTTCTGATTCTCCGCCATGAGAGATTTCAATGGGTAAGAGAGATTTGAGATTGAGAGAGAGGGAGAGACAGATTCGATTGGATATAGAAATGTAGAAGAAATGGAAAGTGTAAAAGCGCCATTTTTTTTTGGGGGAAATCTCAGAGTGATTTTGATTTTTTTAGGTCATGGCGCTTTTCTGTATCGCTTTCGAATTTTTTAGGGATTTTGACCATCCAAAAATTGGGGGACTTTGTAATATTCGTCTCCTTCATTTTTATTTTGGCGGCTGTTTTCTCCTTTTTACCCTTCTAAAGTTTCACTCTCATAAAAAAACGGCACGGGAGCCGCTCTCTCTCTGTTCTCTCTCTCATACCTTTCACAGAGAGAAGGCGATTTTCCTTTTTGCTTTTTCATCCGTTCGATCGGAAAAATAAATTCTGGTATAACCAGATTTATGTGTAATAATCCTTCCGTTTTACGGATTTCAGTTTTCCGGCTATGACCGGATTTTTCTTTTCCGTTTTCGAATCTCCTTTTGCTTGTAAGCAATTGGTTTTTTTCGATTTCGGACTTTATGCTTCTTCTACAAATCTGGCCGCTTTCTTTTAAGAGGTGGTAAAGTGATGGTGGTGAAAGCTCCTACTCCAACATTTGGCATCGTCCTCTCATGGTTGGGATGTTAAATTTCCCTTGGTTACCTCATGAAAAACCTTTTTCAAAATGGAGGGTAATATATAGTCATGAGTCAAAGATGATCGAAGGTCTTTTTAATGGAGGTGAGAAGATTTTTGACCACCCAAGATCTTTATTGTAGAAGAAGCTCTAGCGGCGGTACACAAGCATCATCGTGAAGCCGGAAGCTGGAGGTTGAAGTGTCGTCGGCGGCGAGTTCCGGCGCACCAGAAACTGAAGCGGTGGTGCATGACGATATGATCTTCATCTTGACACGTGTCACTGGTGTTTATGGTTTTTACATCTGTCTATGTACATGTCTAAAATTATCTTTGTATTTGGGCCGATATAGGCCTTGTTTGTACCAACGCTTTACCCCTTTTGGAGTTTCGTTATAAAACGAATGACGAAAAAAAAAAAAAAAGTTTCACTCTCATATTACCACCAATTATTATTCACTTTATTTAATTAATTAGTATTTCTTTTTGTCGTCAAACAATATACTTTAAAGTTTACATTATTATATTAGAGGCATCATACTTGTTAAACAGCAAAATTTTTGAGGAGAAAACTGTCCAAGAAATGTGAATGAAGAGTAATTTTAGAGTTTTGATTAATTTCCAATGAATTAAGAGACGATCCTGTGTTTACTATTTTTAAAAAAATTACAAAAAAAACGAAAAAGAAAGAGAAAAGAATTGTAATTCAAATTCGCAAAAACAAAAACGGATCAATGATTACATTTTTGGATATTTTTTATAGTGTTTTATTTTACAAAGAAAATAATTTTACCTTGTTTTTTTGTATATGTTTATTACATCCACAATGTTTTACCTTGTTTTCCTGTAATGTTTCTTGCTTCCACAATGTTTTACATGTTCTTTCGTAATCTTGTTGATTTATTGAATTGAATATTCCAGTTTTTTTTCTTTTTTTTTCTGTTTAATCAAGGATCATAGCAAATTAAAAAGGTTATAGTTAGTCCTGTCTCTACTACCGATCACATTTGTGACCTTATAAATACTTCCTCATTCAGAGCCAAAGAGGTTCCATCTAATCTAGTACACCAAAAGATTTACCAACAGTGAATATAAACCAAATGAATTTTGTAAAGTTGGTAATCGGTTCACAGCCCATAACCGATTAACAAGTCTCCCTTTTTCTTACTATTGGTTTCTTTCAACAATGACTATCAAGAATACTAGTTACTCATAAATTATTCTATAGGGGACGCTCTCATTGCTTATAAGTTATAACAAGATAAATTCATATAACAGAAATACAAAACATAGATCATTATTGCGTAATTGTATTGCATTATTTCGAGTGTAACATACTAATTTTTGTATACAAAATGATATTTAAATCACACATCACTTCAAGAGTTCTTGCTTCTTACTAGCTGCCTTAACTTCAAGAGTTCTTGCTTCTTACTAGTTGCCTTCACTTCAAGAGTTCTTACTACACCATCTTCAACTATACTATATGACCCGAGAGTCAGTATTGAGATGGTTTTTATGAAATCTAGCTCAGCAACATCTGCGAAACACTGGCTCAGATCAAATGGTAACATCCTCCCAAAAGGTAACCGGAAGCTCTGGTGATACAGGCATGGTCGCAACACACTGGAACTGTAACAAAAGAAGCAACAGTAAGTATCCAAGATTGCTAAATTCACCAAGTGTTTTTTATTTATTTGTAATGTTAGTTTACCTTGTGGTGCTTGTATTTTTCTCTAACAGCTTGTAAAGAACCTCCTCTTCTGCTCAGATACAAGTCATGTATGATTCCAACACACTCTTGTAGATCAGCTGCTTTGTACTTAGTGTATTCTTCTAACATCTGATTCTGTTTACATCATAAATGATTAGTGTCTCATTGAAGCAAGAGAAATGAGGATTCTGTAGACAGAAAATGCTTACCCAAGGATGTTGTTTTGGACGAATGATGAATCGAGCTAGAAAGACAGCAGAAGCAGACAATATAGATGGCACAAACTTCACAGCTTTGTAATCTAATATACTCAATTCTGATAAATAGAACGAGAGAGGCTCTAGCTGCAAGTGTGGCACCTGAAACAAAAGGGCATCAAAAAGAGAATATTTAGCAATTGACACTCTACAAGTTACAAAACAACAGATTTTCAAAATCTCTATGTTTGAGCTTACATTGAAATCTTCTTGTGCAACTCTTGTGAATCGTCTGCACATTAAAAAGAACAAAAACACACACAAAATGAGGACAATGAACCAATACACACCAATATAAGTATTATCACCAGAACACGATCTAACCTTATAAAACTATTGATTGTAGGCCTTCCCAATTCAAACTGAAGGGCAAGAAGTATATCTGCTTCCATCTTCACCACATCTTGTTTCGTAAACGTATTATCAGTGATGTAACAGAAATCTTCCACTTTAGGAGGACTAATCTCTTCATACTTCCTACTCATTTCAAATAACCAAAACAAGGAATAATCCCATAAGCTTCGGTCTAGCAAAAGAGAGAACAATAACAACACTAGTATGATGATCAAAAGATGCTTACGAAGCAATAAGCATCGCAGATACTCCCACGAGCTGAAGCCTCTGCTTGTTGACAGTCTTCAAGGACAAGAACCGATCGATGTAAGAGATAGTGAGGTAGAGTGTCTCAGACACGAGTTTGTACTCTTCAGCAACTTCCACTAACCAATCCACCAAAACACCTCTCATGCTTGGTGTTACATCTTTCTGAACCTTTTCGATATAATCAGGTAAAGGTCTTTGCTTTGGCTTCACCTGGAAATTTTTCACCAAATCCAAAAAAGCAACAATCTTTCAGCCTCACATAACAATCAATCCTTAAATTTTGTCCAAACCATATCAGATTATCATAACCCACAAACCCAAATCATCCAATTATCAATTCCCTAAATTGGAAATATCTTAGAACTCTTTATAGATCAAACTCACTTAGAATTGAAACTGATCAAAGATTTAAGTCCAAACACAGAATATATACGAGATTATTCAGTAAAGTAGAGATTTATAATTACCTCCATTTCACGAAGATACTCGTAGATGTCGGTGACATAAGGTCCACACATCTTGGGATCATCAGATCGAGAATCGATGTCAGAATCTACGGCAGCTAAAGCCACCGGAGCTGACTTTCTCTGCTTCGCCGGAGCACCAATACTCTTTCTGGGTTTCGGAATCTCTCTTTTCCGATTGAGATTGGACAAGGCGGAGACGTTGGACACATTCGGAAGCTCACCGAGAACCACTCTCTTCTTGCTGACCCTTTCTTCCTCCGTGGCCATCGCTTTTCTTTTCGCCGCCGATCTCGTGATCCTCACGAAGATCTCCTTCTCCGTCATGGTTTAGGGATTGAAGGGATGACTTGAGAGAGGAAGAGTGAGAGAGAGAGAGAGAGATCGAGATTGAGATTTGATGGGAGGAAGAAGTGAGGGTGAGAGGGGGGAAGAAAAAGGGAGAGGAAAAGCGCCATTTCTGAGGTTTTTTTGGAGTTGAAATCCAGTTTCTGGCGCTCTCTGTGTGTGATTTTGGGAATTTGGGAGATTTTGAGTTTTTTTTGTTGGAATTTTGGAGGTACGAAAATCTCCTGAAATTTGTTTGGCGGGCTAATTTTCATGAGGTTTGTGTCCGAATTTGTTTTGACCGGTAAGATTTTCCGTGGTGGTTCGATTGAAAACATATTTCACATTTTAAAATAATTTCTCGTTTATTTATGGATTTAATTATTTTAAATTAAAAAGATAAAAAAAAGTTCACGTTTATATTTTTCTACAATAAAAATATCAATTTTAAAAAAAAATTATTCAAACACTCTTGTCAATTTTTTTTAATTCAAATAACTTTACTGAATCAGTGATACAATTGTTTTGTTAATCTCACCATGGTTAACCCAAAGGCTATAAAAAGTATATTTTTATCTATTAAAATATGTGAAGAGAGACAAGATTAATTTTTGTTTGTTGAAATGTGAATTTCCATTTCATTAATCAAAAGAAAAAAAATGTACAACTAATTTAAAATAGTTTTATTCACATCAAAATTTTAAAATAGTTTTTATTCACATCACATTTTGAGTTTTTTTTGTTGGAGTCAAATTAAATTAGTTTTTAAATGTACGAAAAAAATGTGACGTTAATTGGATTTTTTTTTATTCACGTCACATTTTTTTGTCCCAAGATCTCTTTTGTAGAATTTTTATATACTAGGTGTTTAGTCCACGACTTGCGCGGGCCGAAAAATTTCATTAAAACCTAAAATAAAATTTTATGTCATAAATAAAAAATAATTAGATCAAGAATTTGATACATACAAAATTAAAATAAAGCTAACCTATGAAAGTAATCATTGTCTAACATTAAAAACTTTAAAATCAATACTAATAAGTGTATGAAATCAATAAACACAAATTAAAATAAGATTAATATAAATTATTCATATTTTTCTTTTTTTATTTTTTAATTTTTTTCTCTATCATTTTCTTCTTTCTTTCTTTTTTTCTTTTTTTTTTCTATGTCTTTTTTTTTTACTTTTTATTCTGCTGGTTTTTTTTTTCATGTCTTCTTCTTCTCCACATCTTTCCTTTTCCTCTCATACATCTTTATTTCT